ATTCCTCGATTCCCCGTTAATTTAATGTGACTAGAATCGTACGTACGTTTTTACGGTTCTAGACGTTAAATCGGCAGCCATTTTGAGTCATCGACAGAATTTGTGGTGACGATCGACACAATAACAATAACAAATCTCTGGTGTATGGGTTAAATCCTTTCCGGGCATGTTGGAGACGGTACAATAAATTTTACGCAAGTGATTCGTAAATTTTCCCTCAATGTTTCCGCGGAGTAATTTTTGCCATTCCGCCGATCACCTCTCGTTTACATTTCACTCATTTTTACGCAACTTCTCACGTACTGTTTCCAATATTTTTCTTTCTGTGCAGCGTTTAATTCGCAGAATCGATTTAGTTAATGGCAGGTTTAAAAAAAAATCACTCGGCAATTAAAAGAGATCTCTCACTCCATTCTTCAATCATTTTCATTCCACTCTGTAATAAAATTTCCATATCCCTCATATTCATACATATCCCACGAAAATCCGACTCATTGCTCGCGAATTGTTGTCTAATTTAAATTTATTCAATTGCTGCTTTTTTTGCTCTACGTTTTCTGATGATTTTCCGTATTTGTTTCACTTTTTTTTATCTGCACTCGTACATCAAAATAATTCACGCGTCGTGAAGTCGAAACAGTAATTTTTTATTATTTCCTCTTCTTTTCTCTCTCTTTATCCACAATATTGGATTATTTTCCAACGAGAAATACGGGATGCTAATCGATTACCATGGAAGAATGATTAGCCGCTAATCAACCAATCCATGGTACTCATAAAGACAATTATTCGATAGATCGTTTACCATTCAGTAATATTGACAATTGCTTTTATTGATAATTAATTAGCACATTCATATTGAATTTCCCACGCGTAATCACATGAAACATCACACATTGCATTAATCTCAATTAAAATCCAATGAAGTTCAATCTATTCTGCAGAAATATTTTTTGTGGTGTAAATATCGCTGAACTGAATTTATTGTCATAAATCTCAGGAAAATTGATCCGCGCGTATAAATTCATGACATGGAAATCCTCATAGCTTTTCCATACATTTTCTTCAAATTAAAATTCGATTGGTGATGAGAGGATCGGAATCGAGATAAAATAAAATCAAATTGATGAACTCTGGGATTTTATTCACTCTCGGAAACTCGATTTGAATTTCTCCAGGTTTATTTCCCGGAGGTAAGGAAAACACGTTGAGACTGCAAAAAAAAAGTACAAGAGAACGAAATTGAAGGAGACAGTGGCCTTTTTCCGCCCAGGATAAAGGAGACTGTGCAGGGTAGCTGTTCAGTTCCGATTTTCTACTTTAAAAGAAATAAGAAAACCACACTAGGAGAGTAAGGAAATTCATTGAACTGGGGGCAAAAATAATGTAAGAGAACCCGAATTCTTTTTTTTCTGTTGATACATTGAAGTTGTGCCTCTACACAATCATGGATTTTTAACAACAAAGTTTTCAAGGCTAAGAAACAGGATAAAATGTTGCAAACAATCCTGAGAATCCTGATTACTGAACTATCAGAGTAATGTAATTTTGCTGCAGACGTAATTGATTTTATTTCCATGAGAGACGATTCGATATTTGCGGTGCAATTAACGGTGGATTTTCTCCAGGATTAATTCTCTGATCCGTCTTAATGCACTTGTTCATTATTCGTATGCTAATTCCTTTTGATATTAATTGAAAATCAATGGGTGATCACTTGGTTATTTACACAATTATTGATGATTATTTTTGGATTTGGAAACTTTATTGTAGTTTATTCTATTATTAATATTGTAAATGATTTTAATTATCCTTCAACAGATTATGAGTGTAGAACAGAATAATCAATACATTCGCTTTAAGTATAACCTATTTACTTGAATTAAGTATAAAGGGGACTTGATTCAAGTATACTTTAGTTTCGTGTACATGGAGAGAAAAATTAATGAAGAATTATAGTGCGTTAATTTCCTGCCATTTTTCTGTAATTCTAGGCAAAAATTACCGCAAACTGGAGTAAACATTGAGATTAATTCCGTAATTCTTGACGAAACGACACGTCGCCCCATTTACGTAATTGTTAATCAATCTTTAATGATTTTTTTTTGGCAATCTGTAAATTACTAGAAAAATTATTGAGAGCACAGACTTAAATCCCAGAGATGACGGCGGTTTTTCATCAAATACAATTTAAGCTGAGTCCTCAGACTACTTCAATGATCGCGATATCACACAGGAAATGACAACAGAGGCTGATGACAACGTTAAAACTCAGGGAAAAAAGGGAAAAACACTGAACTTCACGAAATACGTTTAAAATCTCATCCTAGAGTATATATCTGCCGGAGATAAATCGCTTTTACTTCCCTTTCCTTTTCTCATTTTTCTCAGAAGAGAAGAAAATCATGATTTATCAATCCAAAAAAATGAAAAAGTATAAAAAAAAATGGTAATTTCCGGCAAGTACAAAACACGTCTGTCCGAAGCGTTGGCTTTTCTCCTTCACGTCTCGCCTTATTTCTCCCTTTTCAAGAACACTAATATCCACAGGGTCGCTATACTGTCGCACCCCTCGGCATTTTCCCTCCGAATTTTACCAAGCACCAGGGTATACCTCGACACAACGTCTCTGGTATTACGAAACTTTGTGTCGTGAATTTCCCTCTCTGTATAATTAATTTCGTAATGAATCTCATTTTTTCGTTTAATGCATTTCTTTCTGAGTACGCTTCAATTATTTTGCTACTTCATTAGTCAAATGGAAATTCTCGTTCAAATATTTTTTTTTTACCTCCAACCGCCGAGGAATTTCCATTTTTGTTAATTCTCGACTTTTGTTTTTTTTTTTTTTTTGCAGCCGCAGGGTTTGATCACACCCTTTGGAATGAAAGTGCTATCAGTTGCGACACGCGGAGCAGAAAGGACTGCCAATTTCACGAATGTAATTCGGCATGTTCTGGGGGTCCAGGGCCAACCGTAAAATTCACCCAGAATTGACCGTAAAACTACTCATCCCCACCTTTTTTTGCCAGTCGATCGCACGTGTGTGCACTCCCAAGTTGAGGGGAAATGTGATAACTATTGGGGACACGTCAGCAGCCTTAATTATACCGGTGTCTTCGTCAGTGTTAATCAAACTTTTCACCAATTCCCTTCACTACAATATGACATCCGCATCGCAATCTTTGAGCTCCAGAATAAATTATCCTATCCATTCCAGTAATAACAGTATAATGATATAAAATAACTAATCATTTACATTTCACATTTCAATTATTTCTATTATATTGAGAATTTTTTTCTTCAATTACTGTTAATTTCATTCCCATCTGTCAATCTCATTAATTAATTCAAAGAATCTTAAATATCTACACAAAATTTCCCCTAATTTGGGGAATTTGAGTTTTTTTCTTTAATTAGCTTTAATTGATAAATACAATATTTTTTTTTCTTATTCTAGACAAATGATTATTTTATTAAAATGAGATATTATATGACATGCATGTATAGTATGATATGAATAAAAAAGTCAACAAAAAACGTTACATGTTTCTTTTTAAAAGGGATTCGTTGTAATGAGGATGAATAGTTCGGAGGACATTTTTCTCTCTAAAATTTTGCGGCGTGGGATGATAACTATTGAGCACACATCAATCTAGTATCAAATTTCTCATCCCTGCCAGTTAATTGTTAGGAATACTTTTCACTAATTTCACTCAGAATCTTCGGAGTATTTCGTTACTTGAAAGGGAAGACATAAAAACGTAATCTTGGGGATATAAATCAGTTAGACGTGCCCCTAAAAAAATTATTCGGGGAATGTTTGGGGTGCATTAAGAGCGTTGAGCGGGTCTTGGTTGAGTCTATTAAATATATCAGTGTGATATACACTTGGAAGAAGGTGGAATTAAATATTTTCATTTGACATTAGAAATACATTTTTATTTTTTATTTCTTAATCAACATGTTTAGGTGTGCAGTCCAAAAATGAAGTACCTCTGGTTGATCAAGTTAAGTTAGACAAGACTTTCCGTCCTAGAGCGCAACTTTCTACCCGAGGGCGAGAAGTACTAAATTTCCCCCGCTTATCAGAAAGCAAAGTACGAACTTTCCGTGCAGGTGTGTTGAAAGGATTCTTCCCTCCGGCATTTTCCGGATTTTTCAAAAACAAACAGCCCAGAAGTTTCATCACAAACTCTTAAAAAATAATCAATGAAGTATCCATTATGAGAGTCTCGATTGTGATAATTTTAGAAGACATTATAAATGTAAAACTCATGTGATGAAAATTGCAAAACAATTAATGGTCCTTAAAACAGAGAAATTGCTGAGTAAGTGGTGTCTGACACTGACAATTCACTTCTCACCATATTGGTAAATTAGTACGCTTTTGCCATCAACCTGATGTCACGTTTATGAATAGAATAGAAGGGTGAGAAAGTGGCGCGCAAAGTTGGCACTTTGCGGCATACATGGATGGGAGATGTGGTATGAATGCGTCAGGGGAGAGGGAGCATAGATGAAAACACTTTGTGGCATTCTCGCTAATTCATCATACATTGTGCAATGAGGGTGCATACGGGTGAGCGTCAGCAGCGACTCAACACCGTGGAATCGTTAATTCTTCTGGAAATTACAAATTAATCCCCTCAATTCACAATTTTTTTAACCGATTATCAACTATTTGAACAAATAATTAGCCTGTGAAACTGATAACTTTGTTTATAACGAAGCATTTAAGAAGAAAAAAACTGCCTTTAAAAAAACTTCATTTCATTTTGAATTGTTATTATTCTGAGGTGGATTCCATTTCCGTTGACGCTCGTTCTTTTTTTCTTTAATTATTGTTAGAGCCAAGGCATCTCTGAGACATTATCCGAGGGGTTTACCTCCACTCCGGGTAAGCCACGACAATAATTAGATCTGGGTGTGGGCGAGGGTGAAAGGCCATTGGGTGCCTGGATGAAAGCATGATTGGGTAATTGATTGAACTACGGGTGGACACTTGGGATGATTCACTTTAATCAAACTACTATTATTTACTGAAGAAAACAGTTCTATGCAAACAATATTACTCGACCCTCGCCTCGATTACCCAGGGACAGAAAGAGATCTCCATCCTCATCACAAAAGACTCATCTCATCCATAAACAAACAATACAAGTCTATAAAAAAAAACCGTATTGCTCATATTGCTCATCCTTCTAAGTGTCGTCGTTTTTTTTTGTTTGTGCAATGGAGAGTTGCAAGTAACCATACATCACTTCAAAGTTAATTACAGAATTGGTAATAGTAAGATAATAATCGCGGAACCTAAGGTCCATGTAAATGAAGTGGCTTCAGCAAAGACGAAATGAATATGGAAATATGTAAACCTGAAGCGAAGAATGTTTGTGGAATTTTTTAAAAATCTTTTTTTAAATCCAGAGAATATTTTTCTACGTATTTCATTATTCCAGCAGTGAAGGGGTTAAACGTAACGAATAAAAATCAGTGAGATGGTAAATTTTTTTTTGAATATTTCTTTCAGCTAAAGTGGATGGTACAGAGTCTAGGGTCTACACTAGTCTGAAATCTATAAAGGAAATTGGGTTGTGCAGTTTTTTATTCGATATTTCTCGGCGTGGGGTGAGTCCCTATCGAGACCATTGGGCCCGTTTTTCATTCCACCAGATAGCAAGATCTACGATACCACTGGCATGCAGAAAATCGACTGCAACAATATTCGCGGATGAATTAAATTCCTCATGATACCATTTCGGAATGAATCCCCCAGCTTCATCAGCCCAGGCACGTATACTATTGTCTGTCAACGGTGTGAGATCCGTCACGACGCTCCCCACATTATGAGTTAATTCAGCCATGTCTGCTACGGGGACTACCGTTGAGTTCCTTCGAAGAATGAAAATAAAGCTTTATAATTCAAGACTTGGGACCAAACGTTGAATAAGTTTTCTAATGCTATTCTAGAACGGAAAACGATCTGCTGTACCACGTAAAATTCATCAATTTTACGTGTAATTTGACTGCAATTTACATTGCTAATCAGATGTGAGTCGCGTACTCACATCTGATCACATCATTTGGTGCGTATCATTGCTCTAGTACCAAATTGCTAATTACCATTTAGCTGGAGACCGAAGGAAGTCGTGGAGAGTTGGAAATTCTCGGCAGTTACACCATCGCTGTTCTATCCCAGGCCAGAAAGTTGCTGAGTCCAAATAATCCATAGAGGTGTAAGATATTATAAGTCTTTTATTTTTCAACCAATACTTGCTCAACGGTGTTGCCCATCCCCTCTTGGCACTCGAATGTTGGTAAATATGATGACTCAATTTCTTTTTCAAGTAGTGCATGAAATGTCGATGATCGTTCTCATTGTCGAATCCTGAATAATTCAAAATTTAGATAGTAATTTAATATAAAATTAAATAAATAATCATAGCAAATGGACGATACAGGGGAGACGGTCAGTGAAAAGGATTGACTGTAATCATCTTCATTTGTCAATATCCAATGATCTGATGGGATGCGTTTGCAATTAATTTCAAAATATCTTCCGGGAATTGGAAATTTATATTATTCTATACAGGAATTTTTTCAGTACGTACCACTGGGGAATTGTTTTACGGAAAAGATCACTATTTCTTTCGTGATATTTAAAAATAGATCGATATCATGGATCACTTGGCTCATCGGTACCATCTTTACGGGTCCATGATTAACGTAATAGGTGCTACAGGGGCCGAGAATCTTGGTGCACGCTGGTCGTATATCCAGGAATCGAACGCCTGATTCTAATTGCTCGAAGATGGATGTGTCCTGAAAGTATCTTGTCTGAGTTAAGAATTGTTTTGAGAAATTTATGAAGAATTGAAAGAACATCGGACCTGGCAAATGGCCCAGTTTGCAGTCAGATTTTTTACAATTCCATCTTTACCGGGGCGTTGGTAGGATCCAGAGTCGTGGGTTCCTGGTATGAAAAGCTGGGGCAAACTCAAATTTTCGAGTAATGATTTACGATCTTCCATCCAGTGAAATCGGCCGGGGTCACTGTAACGTTTTAGAGACGTATCGTTGCGGATGATCATTGCATAATATTTATCTGCAATATATTCAAGATTCATACACTATTGTTTATTTCAAAACGAACTAGAAATTTTATTAAAATTTATTAGAAAGGAAATTTTCAATAGGAAAAAAACCCCGCGGGCATTTTTCTGTAGTTTTTTTTGTATTCATCATGACAATCCATTGTCATCACCCAATGGACACCAAATAGAATCAATTAGTTCAAATATAATTAAATAAATAGTTACCCATCCCAAAAGGCGGGGGTGCCCTAAGACCAGTTTTCACAAATGCACTGACTCCTTCTAACTGCATAACAAATCTAGGTTTAGCCACCCGCCAAGATTTAGGTTCGACATCATAAACTCTCAGACTATCTCCCTGAACAAAGTCAGGATGATTATAATAAATCCTCAATTCATTCGGTACTTTCGTGGCAGTAATAGCTCCAGATGAAAAAACAATAATAATGTTGTCAGAATTTTTCGATAATACGACACTAAAAAAAAAATGTATAAAGCACACGAGTAATAACTGATACATTGTTAATGTTTTCTTAAAATATTACTCACTGACTAGTACTGCAATCGTTACATTGGTTTTTAAAGGTAAAACTCCGCATCATAAACATAGATGATAAGAGTTGACGATCATGAATATTCATGGTCTGATGGTCATGGTGATATTGATCTCAATATTATGTGACAGGAAATTTGTATTTTACCATCAGCGCTCTCGTGGATATTACTTTATTTGGATGAAATAAAATGTGAATCAAAAATTGATAATAATTTCAGAGATAGAGACTGAAAGATCCGAGACAGGGTCAAATATTATGTATCCAAGTGGATGTTCACATGACGACATAAATTCATTTCTGACAAACAATATCATTCGTGGATCGTATATCATGCGACCGATCGACATTCTGAACAGTCAATACTTTATACACCCCATATATCGTACGCCTGGAGGGACACATTTCTAGAATTTAAATTAGTCCAATGCATATTTGCTGATCCATTGAATCCATTAAATATCCATCAATCAGCAGCGGTGAGCAGATGATAATAATTAATTTATTATCATGTTTAATTACAGATGTCTTTGGTGTGCTTTCAATGGCTTTTTCATTGCCAATGCTTTAAAGTATTAAATACCATTAATTATTTATTCCTGGCATTCAGTACTCGTGTTACTAATTACTTCTTTAAAATCAATTTCTATCTTCAAATCTATCCATTTATTTAATATTCAAGTAAATATTTATGTATTTTTAAATATTTTAACGGAGAATACAATTTATTCTTGATCAAATCGATTTAAATTGCCATTTATTACTGCAAATTCTTTTTAATTGCGAGACAATCAAATTTGAATTGCAGAGACTATAAGTTGTGATGGATACACTAGCTCAAATAAATTCCATCTATCGTTCTTTGGAGTTCTTTGGTTTATTAGGAGACTAATAATGATCGCTAATGCTAGTGTTGATGATGATAATATCAATATTTACAAGGATAAATTTCATTTAGCGTTGAAAATCCGAGACAACAACCATGTACAACATCGCGATGAAAGATGAGGGACAGATTATTAAGGACGATTGGCAGATCCGCAAGGCAAGACGGAGAAAACGGAAGTTGTGTGGGGTTAATGCTCAGGTGCTGAGGAAGTGGAACAAGCAGGAAATAACAGCCTGTGGCGAAATGAGGAGCATTGAGGCTCTCAGTCTACATGGAATCCTCGACATTATGCTGAAGCCAGAACCGTACCTGTTGTAAACAACGTGCATCTTCTGCAGGGTATCTCATTGAATCCTGTAATTTAATTGAACTACACGTGAGCATTCCGTTGAATTATCTGAATACCAAAATGTGAGTGTGAGTGAGTACTGGAAATAATTAATTCACTCACTGATGGTAAGTATTTTAAAAAATTATAAATAATGAGATGAATAAATGAGATACTTTTTAAAAATAGTCTTGACTGATCGAAGGAATTTATTTGTAGAGTGTAATTTGCGAGGAACTCCTCAACTTCCTCTGCTCAGTCAGGTATACAATTGTCTCTTACCGGCGTGAGATCTTTCACGACAATTCATACATTATGAGTTAATTCAGCCATGTCTGTGATATCAACCGCGATTCAGACCCTTCGAAGCATGAAAATAGGATGGTATGATTTAAAGTTCGTGGCGAAATCCTAAATGTATACCAGATTCTCGTATGAAGAGAGGAAATGTCATCAGTCTAATTACAGGCATCAACTACTCATTGCAATATAAGTCACAGCCTTCGAGTAGAGGAGTTAAACATATATGTATCTATATATATATATATGAATATGATTCTGAACATCACATATGCCTTCTTCATTCTTCATGTTTTAATAATCATGGTTTCATCCTTTCGCGTACGATATTATTGAATTTGGAAGATTAGAGTAGATTACGAGTAGATTAATGGAGATTAGAGACAGATATTGAATCAGGAGAATATATATAAACGATATTTATAAAATAATATGAAGGATTGATATCGCTAATTAATGGAGTCAGTACTAATCGTGTGTCAGTGGTAATGTTTTTTAATCCGTTGAATTCATGTGCGGAAAGTGCATTTGGCAGTCAAAGCAAAGACATCAAATTTACTAATTCCCCTGCAATGATATTCAATGGTGTGCAATACGGGTTTAATGGAGTTTATTATTTCCTCAATAGCATAATTTGCTTTCTCTCTTTACCTGCGATGACGTCAAAAGAGAGTTATAATGAATATTTTTCTAGTGGAGATTGCCTTGAGCAACAAAAAAGTCTTTTGTTATTTCTATCCACCGCTCGTAAATATCATAATATTGCAAAATGTCAAACAAGGTATGAATTGATATTCAATAATTATTGTGATCTATTTACTTCTATCTGCGGCTTTTTCTCATTTTTGCGATCTTTACAATAAAATCAATTGCAGAGTAACACACGATTTGTCGATGGATTGATATCCCAACGCTTTTAGATGCAATTGAATGTGCGTCAGAAACATGTGGTAATTATCATTAATATTAATGTTTCTGATAGCGCTTCTCATATTTATGAGAAGGAATGTTTGTGGAAAATTCAAGTCATCGAATTTCCGAGTTTGGAAATAGCCTGAAATTTCGAATAAAAATACCATAGCCCGAATGTTTAAACAAAATGCTATCTGTAATGGCTGGTGTTAATGGAGTCTAAAGTATTCCGAGTGTCAGAAATGCGCAGTAGTTTCAAATGTACTTTGCAGGAGTGATTTTCTCGTGCGCCTCCACTCTCATTAAATATTTTGTTAATAGAGTAAACAAATTACGTAGTGTGGAAAGAAACGAAGAAGCGATTCCTCGTACATGAAGGTCTTTCTTATTTATTATTAATTTCTGGCTGCCACAGGAGCAACACGCCTCCAAAAAAGGGAAAAGCGGATGATTCCTCGATTCTTCTGTGATTCTTTTATTAAATCCCAATTTAACTCACGTTTCAACGAAATCAGCTGGAATTTCCTCCAATTTTTGGATCACTGGAGAATGAAAGAGTTATTCCATTCCCCGCCATTTTAATCCTCAGAAAGGTGGCCCTAAAATGGTGGAAAGAATGGAGTAACTCAATTCTTCTGTTATCCCGTTATAACACTCCGATTTGCTCCAAATTTTAACGAAATTCGCTCTAAATTTTTATTCTAATTTCCTCCAACTTCTAATAATATCACCGAAATATTGAAGAGGTTCCCGATTTTTTCCGCCATTTTCAATCACCCCATTTATTCAATAACCCTCGTCATTCAAATTTTTATAACAACCGAGGATGTGAAGATGATTGTATTCACTGTATCTTCATATATCGTCACGAACCCAGTGAAATATCGGAGTAACTCACAAGACACGAGGAAAATGTAGAACTAAATTTTCAACTCGGGAACGCATTTTCCTAGATGAAATGCAGTGGCCATGCATTCTCAGATGCACGCCTTTAATTCGGGCTAGATGCACTTATCTCGGGAGCATCCTAAAGAGGACTATAAAGTGTCCCATTTATCTGGAGGATCCGAACAATATGAAAATTCTGCATAATCCTCCATGTCGTCCATCAAGTACCACATCAACTCGACCATTTTAGTTCACCATCTCCGCTTTTATCGATAAACCTTTCCAGCTGAAAAATACAAATCAAGGAAGAGCAAGAGCAAATAGTCGATTAGGTAATTGGTCTTCGAACACTTTGACTGATTTATTTTAATTAGGCACTCGGTATTCAGGATGGGGGGGAACCCATGGACTTTCGATAAAATTTCAGGGCTTTTTATACTCCCCAACTCTCTTTAGCCCTTTGTTTCTCTCCCACTCGTCCAAGTACCTTTCGACCCAACTCACCCATTTGCTCGTCGGTCCTTATTTTTCCCAGTGTAATTCACTTTTTGCATTTTCTCTGGAGTAAAAGTCGAGGAGACAGCCTTACTCTCTTTTGTATCAAACACAAGGAGAAGAGGAAAATGGAGAGATGGAGGAAGAAGGAAGGATGGAGAGTGGTGGAAACGATTCTACCAGTGTAGAAATGCATGTTAAGGAGGTAAGAAAAGAGATCTTTTGTGTTGAACGCCAAAAATGGTTTTACCCCACGGTAAAATCAGAGGAAAAATATCTAGATAGGGAATGGGATGGGGGCGAGGGTTGTTGCGAAGTAATCGTGATATTGTGCCGAGTTTTTCAGCATTTTAAGAGGTTAATATTTCGATGGAGAGAATAAGAAGAATTTGAGAGAGGAAAACATTAAATTTCCGGGGCTTTCTTGTATCTCTGTACTTCATTTCCGGATGTAATTCTTTGTTGAGAAAGTTTTGATAAAACTCACTGTCGAGTTCTTCAAGTCTCAGTGAATAGGAGACATTTGAATTAAAGTTAATGAATTCGAAGTTGTGTGAAAATAAGTTGTTCTTGATTAAGAATAAATATTAAAGCTGGTAGGGGGATAAATTGTGGAGGAATTTGCCTCGATGCTGTAAACGTTTAAGACGGACTTATCCGGTGAACCTGGATAGGAACTTTCGGGAAGAGAGGAAATTACCCGATGGAGATGTTCCACTGTGAGAGACTCAAATGGATCTGGAGATCATCTTGAAGCTTTCCGAGAGATTCTTCTTAATCCCTGGAACAAGTTTCCGGGATCTTGGGAATTGTGGAAAAAAGTTTGCAAGACACCTTGGGAGAGATCTTCAGTTTTAGAGAGAATTGAATTATTAGGCGGTTTGCACGGAGTTGAAGTAGTTTATTCAACTGGAGAAAATTGTGGCTTCCAAGATATAGAGGTAATACGTTTCTATTTGTAGGGAAACAGTTGTTGATTAAAATTTATACCCATAGAAATGATTAAAGTTTCTTTAGTCAATTTAGATCCAGCGAAATATTTCAAGTTCAATTGTCAAGGGAGAAAAAACCTTTTACCTTTTATGAAATTGAAAAAAACTTTATAAATTTGCGTTTATCTTTCTTTTATTTAATTTTGATATCTATATTTTTTAAATCAAAGTGCCGGGGAAT